AACAACGCCCTGTTTTCGTCTCTTGCCCACCGATGCCTTCTTGTTCCAGTAGCCCACTTTTCGTCAGGGTGCCCTGGTTCCTCAACACCTGACGCGGACCTTGTTGATCCGGGCGACATCCGAGCCGGCATGCCTTCACGTTCAGTGAGAGACTGAGATTACCAAAAAGCACCACTGTCCAACACAGGAAAACATTCCTGCCTGTGGCCATCTCCCTGTACAACTCCTCCATCTAACACTCTGTAATCACTGCAATAGTTGCATCCTTTTTACACACACTCTTTTGTTACTCGATAATGTTGCTGTCATTATTCTTGATGATTATTTATAATCACATCTGTCAACCCTGGATATTTATTATTTGATGATTTGTATATGTTTTAACATATAGTACTGTCAAATAGTCTAGTCTGTTTTTGTTAATGTTACTGTGCTGGAGCAACTGTAACCCACATAATTTCCCTAGGGATTAATAAAGTATGCTGATTCTGATTCTTTGCCAGCTGATTACACGATTTGGCCTGATGAGGAAAAGCTGGGGTGTCGGACTCCAGTTTGTTGGTCTGGTGACTCAAACAGACTCTCCTCCACACAGTCCTCATTTATAAAGTGCTTTACAAACCCCACCATCACGGCTAACAGCTGGATTTGCCCGTTTGAGTGCAGCTAGCCAAATACCAAACCGTCACTTCCTGCTAAAGACAGACAGTAAAGTGGACAGTACATCCTGAATTTAATATAAACTCATTGTTGCAGCACTAAAGTGGTCCTCTTACACTGATGTTTAGTTTCAGTGTCCTTATTTTCCTCCGAGGTATCGATCTTGTCACTAGTTGGCTAACATAAACTAATGTAAGTGCCAACCAACCACATGACATCACGCTTGTACTGTCAGAAGTTGGCGCTAAACATGTTTTTAAAACTTTGACTTTAATCATTTATTCCTTAAATCCAGCTTCACAGATAGTTACATCTGAGAGCAGGGCTCCATGATGTAAAATAGCCTTTATACGTGTAGTGTTTCAGGTCCCGGTTAAACATGAGCAACAGAGTGCTGACTGCAGTTCAGTCAGTAAGTGTTATAAATAACAGTGGTTAATGGGATTTTACATAGAAAGATTTAAAATCTTAGGCTGTTGTTTTTTCAATACCTGTACCTGAAGGCAACATTACCGACTCCAGTGGCTAACAGCTCCTCAGCTCTAAAATTGTGAAGTCAAACTAAATAACCCTGGGTTCTGTAGATAACAAACATTATGAGAACATTGTCTCTCTTTGTCCCAATGACCAGGTCAAAGTGAGATTTGAGAAATGTACCCCACAGCAGTGCTAAAAGCTGAAATACAGAAACAAACTTCTTTTCCTGTTAGAAATGTTTGGCTTTATCAGTGCTTACCTGCTCCTATAAATGCTTATCTGGAGTAAAGTTTGACAACACTGCTCGATGAAAGAAGACCGAATCTTTCTCCACCCAGACCAAAGCCACAGGGTGGAGCATGTCTCTGAGTGCTGCTTCACCTTTGTTGTTTCATATCAGGTGCTCGTTACTTGTCCTCTGACCATTTTTTTTATTGAGTTTTGTATCTCTGATAAGGTTGTTTTCTCTCCATCTGTGAACTAATTTTATCAACTCAAGGCAATAATTTCCTGTCACGGTGCCTTGACAAAACATGTTTATCATATTAGATTATTTCATGTTTATTTACTAATAATAACAGCCTGACCTCTTCTGCCTCAGTGTGGACCACAATGAAGAGCACTGGGTCGACCCACAGCTTCTGAACAAGCGTAAGTGTCACTGAGTTTCTCTGTAACATCGACTGAGCTGAAGCTTAACTCACTGCATCTCTTTCACAGATGCCTGTGATCTCACACTCGACCCCAACACTGTGAATGAAAACCTCGTCTTGTCTGAATGTGACAGGAAAGTAAGCTACACTAAGGAAAAGCAGTCGTATCCTGATCATCCAGAGAGATTTGACCAAGTGAGTCAGGTGCTGTGTCGAGAGGCTCTGACTGGGCGCTGCTACTGGGAGGTGGACTGGGAAGCGTTTGTGAATATTGGTGTTACATATAAGAGCCTGCCGAGGAAGGGACACTGGGACACAGAAATTGACTGTAGTGACAGAAGCTGGAGTTTCACCATCACCTGTTCAAAGGGTTACTCCTTCCGACACGGGTTGAGGGAAACTTTTATACCGGTCCCACACATCGACGTCCGAGCATTCCTGACCAGACGCAGGAGACTGGGACTGTTTCTGGACTGGCCAGCCGGCACTCTGTCCTTTTATTCAGTTTCTGGTGACAAAAAAACTCTCATTCATACCTTCCACACCACGTTCACCGAGCCTCTCTACCCAGCAGTCAGTGTTCATAGTGGAACTTTGACCCTGTGCAGGGTTGTGAAGCTGCAAATGGAGACTGTGAGTGTTTAATAATAGTAGATCTACTAATAGTTCTCTCATGGTGTCACGTTACAAGTTTGTGTGACTAAAAAAAATATTTAATTTGCCCTCTCTGGATTTTTAGGCTCGATCAAGCTTCACACCTGAGATGAGAAAAGAAAGAGCTGGCGTTTCATACAGGTACGACACGCAAGCCTCGATGTGCCCACTGTGAGATTATGTCCTCTGCAAACACACAGGTGCTCAGAGTGCTTTACATATGCAAAGAAGAATGTGGGGAAAATCAAAAATGCTTTTAACAAATGTGTGATTGGTTGAGTCTGAATGTCAGATTGTGTCTGACAGTAGATGCTGGTCACCAATTGATGGAGTATTGGGAGCCAATTAATATACTGCTGTTTACAAGGTCGAATGTCAGTTTGAGTGTTTGTTTTATGTGTTATATTTTTGCAACTTCCCAACACACACATTTGTTAACTTTAACATGGCCTTGGTTAGTTATACCTTAACTGGTTAAAATACCAAAGTCATGGTCAATAGAGGCAGTGGCTGACCATCAACTCCTACACACGAGTAAGTAAAGTTTTAATTAACAGAGAAGGATGTGATCATCTAACTGTCATCTGATGGAAACGTTGAAGAAGGCCATAGATGCTTCTTCCTCTTTTAGGATTCTCTCACTAGTATAATAACATAAAGCCTTGGGTTTTACTTTGCAGTATGAATTCTATTGTGATGACAGTCTTCCACCATATAAATTAAATTAGACTGAATTTAACAGCTACATAAATGAGCTCCATGTTGAACCGTTGTGTGTCGTTCAGGTTCCTGTTTCCCGGTCCAGGGTTGTTCCAGTGTTCTTTGACTGGTCTGGTCTTTGATGTGACTCGTGAGAGTGAGGTCACCTACAAGACTCTGATCTGGGATCCTCTGGTCCTCCAACCAGCGCACAAAGTGGCCGGAGGCCCGCTGTTCGGCATC